TTAGTACTTTACATAAATTTTTTTCAAAATTTTAATTTAATAAAAAATTAAAAAAATAATAATTATTTTCAAATAAACAAAATATTAATTATATTTTTTTATAATTAGGTTTTAGTTTTCTTACAATATAAAAATTTAGAACAAATCTTATAATATACGTATCACTTAAATAGATGAATGTGTACCACATCACTCATTTCAGTTAAATTAATCAAAGTTATAAGTTAAACTCTAACAATATAACATGATAAATACATGAACATATCACATAACATTGTAAGCAATAATAATAAAAAAATGGTTATAAAATATCATTTGCGACATAACTAAGCCAACAATCACAAAACATTCCTTTTCCATTTCATACACATAATAAAATGAATGAAAAGAATAAGATAAATACACATAAGGTAGGTCAAATTCACTTATATAATGTATTTTACTTGCATTATAAAGAAAAATAACATTTGCTAACAAGCATCAAAGAGGGGAGCAAAATTGATGACACATCTTAACAGTTTGACTGCATGTTGCCATCTAATACATGGAGAAAGTGATCAAAGGTACATTGAATTTGTTGGCAAGTAACCTAGACCTATAAACATGTTGACAAGGAAATCAGTTCAAACAAGTTTCTTTAGCACGATTTTGAACCACATGAACTTATGGTTTATGTGACTTAGAAGAAGAACATTAAGAACTTTCTAAGAAGAAGATTAAGAACAAGAACAATGGTAGAAGCTTTATTTCTAACTCAACAAACTTCAATTGGTCAGTGGCATCTAGGAACATTATATCTACCCTTGATTTGGGATTTATTAGAGCCATTTGTGCTCTTTTGTTTAGTCAATATAGAGTTCTTTTAGGTAGATCGTATTATATTTCTCTTTTTACCAGTGTTTTTAATAGGGATTTCTCTTTTGACATTATTACTTTCCTCTTTTTTCCATAAATTGTCTTCTTTGTCTTATTATCATTTTTTTTATTTTTCTTATTATCATTTTTTTCTCTTTCTTATTGTCATTATTTATCAAAGCTGTTGGCCAAAAAGAAAAAAAAAAGGGGTTTATTTGTCAAAGTTACTTTGTTATTATCTTGAAAACACTTGAGGAGTGTATACTTCAACCCTCTTTCGATGTTTAATTTTAGGGTAATGATAGGGGACTATAGAGTGGGACAAAATTAGTGGGCTAATAATGTGATATAGGTTATGATATATATAATATCACAAGTTTCAATAAAATAAAAGGTGGCGTGGCTTATACCAGTTATAAATTTCAAAATTTTGATTTAATTTATTATTATTCTTAATTTTATGAAATTTCACTTGGCTCAACTTCTAACCACTGTATGCATGTTTGATATATAGATGTCAATTGACACTCGATACT